TCTAAATGAGAAACCTGGTCTGCTGCAATATTATTTACCTGCTCCTGGAAAACAAGCAACTAGGTCCCATGAAAACTATTAATTCTTTTAAGAGACTGTCCAAGTTAATAATAACACTATTGCTCTATTGCCTTCTCCAAGGTATAAGAAAATTCATAATACTAAAAAGCAGCTAAAGTTTTACTGCCAGTTTCATGTACCACAGGAGTCCAAGCTATGGCATTATTATGACATTACAGGCAAAGCTAGCTGCCAGCTTAGAGAAGAAAAATAGATAGCTTATACACAAAACCAATTATTTCGTAAATTTCCATGAACAACAGATGTGCGAAATACAAAAGGCTACATAGTAGTTTCCTCCTCAATCTACCATCCTACCCTCAAGCAGATTGTCTTTGCAAGATAAACAACTGTTCTGTGCATGCTGGTGACTGTCATTGTTTCAGGATGGGCCCTCACAGCAGAGCCTGTTATAATCCATGTGCCATCCAAGCCTGCTCACAAGAGAGCTGCAGAGATTTAAGAAGCAATAAAGAACAACACCAACTGAAAAAACCCCAAACCAACCAAAAAACCCAACCCTACCCCTGTGGAAGAATACCTCAGCAATAGGGAACTGAAACTGCAGGAAGAAGAAATCCAACAGCCTTTAAAAATTGTAAGGGAACAGCAAGAAAATATCTCCATATTAATTAACAAGTAAGGAGTCCATAAGCAACTAAACAGTGAAAGTATTTTTTACTTTCTGCTTATTTTTTAGTTTAAGCTGACTTCATTTCTATCCCCACTTCTTGTTACTGGAATTCAGACAGGGCTTATATCCTCCTTTCTTTCCACCTTCTCCAAGTTCTTCTTGAAGTGAGCTTGTGTCATGCAATTGAGTTTTTTCTGTTGGTTTGGTACATGCCGACCCCACCCCCCCACAAAAGAGTTCTCATAAAATGGAAGTATTAGATCTGAACTACCTGAAAGAAAATCCCAATCCTTCCAGTATAGAGTTCTGTTGTCAATATAAAAATAAACTGCTGCCTACAGTCTTGCCTAGAATAACAGATCCTCCTTCCAAGTCTGGTAACTTGTTAGTTTAAAATAAACACTAAGCACAGTAACATCCAGACCTGCTTTTATTCTAGTACAGAAGACCTCTTTTAGACACCCTCTTCTAGGTCATGGGTCATACTCACTAGAATTCAAATATCGCTACGGATGGCAGGCACCTCAACTTTGCACAAAACAAGACAGGAAAAGAACACCTACTCATTTGATCACAAACTGGGACTTTTCTTCAGCTTGTGAATCATAAGATATGCAGGATAAGCCTACAGGGCTGCACAGAACAACAGCTTCTGTTTTAAAGAGGTCTTACAATTTAGAATAAATTTGCTAGAGGATTATTAGGCAACTGTCTCTCCTCTGCATGCATCTAAATTCCACTAATGCTCATCACACAGAGCAGGTAACACAGTTCCTTCTGTAGTCCACTCATGCAATCCATCCCTATCATACAGTTTTCTGTAATGCTTTTTAGAGTAAAGATTCCCCAAGGCAGAATTCAGCTCTACAAGTTTCTATCCCTCATGTCCTGTTTCTAGTAACTGTGATACAGTTTTCTGCAGTTCCCAGCTTGTATAAGTGATAGGTGCGAGAAGATGAAACACAAGTGCTTGAATTGGATTTGCTTGAACGACAGTAAAGGTAGCAGCTGAAAACTATTGTGGTAGACCTGAAACTTTCCATTCACACAGTGCTATTTGCAAACGCTTTCAAAGCAAAACTTCAGACAAGACCTCATACACAAACCCAAGGATTTTCTCCAGAAAGTTCTGAATTTCATCACCTGAAAACACACAAGTGTTTTAGGGAGAAGGTAAGTAGCTGGTAATGAATATGGAAAAGACAAACACACGAGGTGAGAAATCGAGGGACGTAATCAAGGGTAGTACTTGGCTGGATACACTGAGCACACAGCACGTTTTAAACGGCCTCACGCCTCTCCTCCAGCTTCTCTGAAGTCACCGTGGGAGCAGCACACACTCCGCATGCCAACGAAGCGCTCGATGCGCCAACGCAGGAGACACACGGGGACACCCCGCTTGTTTCTGGGAAGCCGGGGAGCATCGCGGCCGGGGAGCCGCGAGCTCTCTTTGTTCCGGGGAACC